TACAAACGTTTTAGGTTTTCTAACTTACGGATGAAACAGAGCAGACAAATTCTTTCTATACAAACACGATGGATTAAAAAGAAATTTTTATTGACAGAAACATTGCTTAAAAATAGCAACTTTCAAAATTTGAATAAAAAATAAATAACAGAGATTAAATATTTATTATAATATGCTTAAAAAATTGTTATGCAAATTCAATGTTGCCGCTTTTGTTGTAAAAGTCATTTTATACGTATATAAAAGACTGCTGTCATGTCCGTCAAGCTTGTGCTGTTATGATCTACTGATTTAAGGTGAGGGAGCATTATTTAGACCTAAGATACTTTATAAAAAATAACAAATATTAATAAGAGAAATACATAAATAAATGGTGATTTACAGGCGTTAAATGCACTGATTGGTTTGTTTTACGGCATATTAACCTCAATGGGTTATTTCATGCCGACAAGATATTTTGTTGCTGGCAATTTTTTTATTTTTCAAAAATTTATTGCTGGTAATTTTTTATTTTTTCCAAAATTGTATTGATGTTAATATGTTTTTAGAAAATGTTAATGTTTTCGCTAAAAGTATTGCTGGTAATATTTTTTTCACAGATGTACTGCTGGTAATAATATATTCTGGTAATAATTATTTTGTTCAAAAATGTATTGCTGGTAATATTTTTCCAAAATGTATTGCTGGTTATATTTTTTTCCAAATATGTATCGCTAGTATTAAAACCTATTTTTACACTTTAATATTTTTTTTATCCCAGTTTGGGGTGGGGGTTATCTATTTGCCCATAGCTGGAAGCCTAACAGGTGCTGCAAACCCGGGTCAGAGTGGATCTGGGAACACCAGCAAATAAGAGATGGCTCCACGCTCCTCAAAACCTCCTAACCAGAGGCCTTGCTGCTGGATGTAGTTTATCGTCATACCCAGTACGCTAAATGCACTGAAAAGAGCTCTAAAACAGCTAAATTGGCAACTTGTGTTTTCAGTAGTGAATCGCATATTGAAATACAATCCATGTAATATTTGTGGAAGCCACTATACTAAGAGACTTTGTTATCAATCTAGTACAGGCAATTTCGATTGATTTGTTTTTACGGCTTATCAACATTTTGGGGGTTAATTACACCCAGAAAATATTTTTAGATTGCAAGCTTTTTTTAGATAATAATGATTTACTGATACAAGTACTACTATTTAACCCATAGATGGCAGATTTAAACCTTTCCCCAAATTATTTTGCATATGAATATAACGAAGCAGATTAGAATTGGAACTCGGCCTCCGATTTCTAATTTGAAGCATTTGTCCATTACACCACCCGCACGTCCAAGTTTACAGCACCTGGTATTCCGAAGCGGTCACTCATCTCGTTACTGACCAGCTTCGACGTTGCTTAATTTCAGTGATTGTACGGGAGCCAGTGTTTTCACGTGATGTTGCCGTAAACCCCTGGAAGTATTATGACGTGTTTTAGAGATAAATATCTGTACTTCTTAGAAGTAAAGAATGGAGCTCATCTGAATATTTGATATATACATATTGACTGGCTGATTCGTTTTTGACGGTTTATCAACCCTTTGAAGGTTATTTAAAGCCAGAAAATATCTTAGATTGTACGAATTTTGTTTTAGAGGCAATGATGGTTTAGTGATACAAGTCTTACTAATTAACCCACATCTGGGGGAGAGGAAAGGTTTTGAAAAATCTTTTCCCAGGTGCATTTGCACTGAAGTGAATATAATGAACCCAACGAGAATTGGAACAAATTAAAAATTCCGAGTCATTATCTATTACGCCACCCGCACATCCACGTTTACAGCACCTGGTATCCGCAAGCGGACACTCATCTTGGTACTGACCAGTCTCGACGTTGGCGACTTTCAAAGATTGATTTCGATATTTTGAATGTGTTACCAACAGCCTTTTATAATCTTGAATAACTTGGATGTTTAATAGACTCCATGCTTACGGCCCTTTCATGTTGAAACATCGGTTCCTATCCGACCACCGTCTATGCAACGTTGAGCCTGGTCAAAGCTCAAATAAGTGACCGCTGGGAAATACCAGCAAGACGACGATGGATACGATATTGCTACTTATACGAACCGATAACTTCGATATATGAAGACGCTTCCGAGCTGACAGGTCGCAAGACTTACATGGAGTTGGATGAGGCTCCTGAGATATATGATAAATATCAGTCGGCCAATAATAAATATCAATTCTGAGTCGGTGAGATGAATTGCCTTCTGACGTTCCGAAAGAAAGAAAAGTTGAAGGATTTAGGAGGTTCAATTGGGAATATTCTGCTTCTGAAATTCCTATCAATCTCATTTAGTCTAATCAAGCATGGCGCATCATTCACCAGTACGAAACTTCACAAACCACTTTTGACACTTTCGATTATTCACAATACCTTCTCCATAAAATATATAAAACATTTTTTTTTTTGCGTGTGAATTATATTTTTACTTTTCTTAATATAAAAAAGCCTACTATTAACGTTAATTTTAGTATAAATAATCAAGAATTTTAGACATTAAGGAAAATGCTTGCTGATATGTTAGCTCTCACGATAAAAGAAAATGCTTTCCTTTTTATTTTAATAAAATCACTTAAAACACTCGTCATAATATTTAACGATAAAAGAAAAAAATTTGATCGACAAAATACTTTACGCAATGGGAACTTTAGTATTTTTAAACAAATGACACGCTGAATTTATTGACTATACGCCTGATAGGTTCTTGTGAGTTCGATTCGTATGAGCGATTGCGCCACGTTATAATTATACCGTGTCTTCTTTTTTTCTTGAATTCATTTAGTTGATTTAAATCTTTCATAAATTTAAAAATATATTTGATGTCTCTATATTTTCAGTAACCTGAACACAAATTAGTTGCTTTCAAAAAAGACGGGGAAAAAAGTATTTTAAAGTTATTTTAGCTCTACGCGTGAAAGAACAATTGACTGTTTGTAAATACCAAGATGCACAGAAAAGTGCAGACATCATAAAGAATCTAATAATGCATTATAAATCTGATAGTTACACAAGTCTTTCTCAGTCTCACGTATTCTACTGGCATGAAGTAAAGTGATTGTATTGAATCACTCGCTAGCTTTGCTGCTAAGAAGGTTGGTTCACTGTGTCGTGTTTCAATATTGCTGCCGTGTCTGGTCTGGTTGTCCGGCTATATATCTCGAGATTCTCGACAAAATAAATCCAAAGAGGCGTCTGTAATGTTATCAGTCTTGACATGGCCTCTCGACACCAGTCACTTTCCCCCATTGTGACATATCTTCAAGCTGTCTATTCTATAAATATTTGCATGGCAGTTGTTTTAATAATCTCGTCTCCTTAGTCCATGGACCGCATGAATTTAAATATCTTACTAGATAGGCAACGGTTTCTTATCGTTTTTCTGTTGAAATAGCTAGCTATAACCGTAAGCTCTATTCTAATAATTTCTTTTCTCGCACATTTCACCTGTGGAACTTCCTTCCGATTTCTTGCTTTCCTGCTACCTACAATCTTCAAAAATTTAAATGCAACATCAATCGCCAACTTCGCCTTCCTGAATTGTGTTCGTTTAAATTTCTTTTCTCCTCACTATAATTCTCTCATTCTCTTCCCCTTCCAGTAACCTGTTGCGTCTTAGTAGCTTTATTGCCTTGCTCGAGGCGAAATCATTTAATATTCTTTCCTATCTTTATGCAATTGAATGAAGGACGGCTAATGTAACGGTTAACTCCACGAAAAACGGAATCGATGAATTGATTTCACAGTAAAACTGAGACAACTGACGTTCTTCTTCATACTAATGACATTGGGAAAGGGAAGAATTTAATTCTTCCCGTAACTATGTATAAAGGGTATGATCTTATCAGCCTAGTAAAGCAGATTATCGTGGGCGTGTGGCTATCGTCTCCTCCCCGTAAAAATATTCACTTGCACGTGAGGCTATAGCACACCTACTCGACATAGAATCAGTGCACTTCCCCAGAACAAACAAGACATTACGGCTGTGCACCAAAACATTTTAGATTACAAGCTCCAGGACGCCTGCTGCAGAGTAATAATAAGCAAACATACCAGTTTTTGACGCTCCCTTTAAAGATTCCATGCTTGTGGCATTGCGATGTGCGGCTCTGTGGTAGAGCCATTGATAGGAAGTATATATATATATATTCACCTGATTGAACACGCGATTCTAGTTCGGAATTGATGGCAATGGTAATGGTAATAAAACGGTTTCCTAATAAGGAAACATTCGACATTCATTGCCCGAGCGATAATCGCTACCGTCGCTTGAAATTTTTAACAACTTTCTCTTAAAAGAATTTTTGGGTAAATAGTTCTCTCAAGCCCAGGAGCTGTTATCGCTCATTTCAGTATTGAGGGAGGTTTCCTTCATTGTCTTTTGACTGAGTTGGTGTGGAACGTCTGTATTTTGAATATGTCGTTATTCTCTTTTGGGGTTACATACGCTATCCATTTTAATTGATACCGTTGGAAGTCCTTAAATGATGCGGTTTCTGTTATTGGGTGTAGTTCTTTGTGATTCTGTAGCGCCAGTTCAGGAGGTTCGAGGAAGCATAGTCCTCGATGAAATCTACATTTTCAGTTCACTCGAAGCCGTTTTTAACCATCGATCTTAGAAAGCGATTTTATACAGCTGACAATTTAATTATTTCTGAACGAATCTGGCGACTTGCGCCAAACGCAAATGATATCTCGATCTGAGGAGACTGTTTAAGAATGTGTGTTGAGTTTTTATATTAATGTTTGGTTTTGTAGCAGTAAGACCTGTATCACTAAACCATTATTACCTCTAAAACAAAATTCGTACAATCTAAAATATTTTCTGTCTTTAAATAAACTGCAAAGGGTTGATAAACCGTCAAAAAACGAATTAGTCAATATGTGTATATCAAATATTCAGATGAGATACATTCTTTACAGGTATTTATCTCTAAAACACGTCAATACTTCCAGGGGTTTACGGCAATATCACGTGGAAACACTAGTTACCGTACGATCACTGAAATTAAGCAACGTCGAACCTGGTCAGTACCGAGATGAGTGACCGCTTCGGAATACAAGGTGCTGTAAGCTTAGATGTGCGGGTGGTGTAATGGATAAATGATAATATCTTTATTACGTCATCTCTCTCTCTCTCTCTCTCTCTCTCTCTCTCTCTCTCTCTCTCTTTGAGTTACATGTGTTATCCATTTTAGTTGTTGTTGCTGTTGGAAGACTCCAAGTGAAGGGGTTTCTGTTTTTCGCAGTTCTTTGTTATTCTCTAGTACCAGTCCACAATGTTCGTAAAAGCATGGTCTTTACTGACACTTACATGCTTCTCTTGTTCAAAGCCATCTTAACCATCAATGGTGAGTGAGCGGTTATATACATCCGAGTGTTTAAAGATTTCTGAACGAGTTTGTGCCATGCAAAGCATCCATATGAAAGTCTCAATCTGAGTAAAACGATTTAAGAAGATGAATCGAGTTTTTATGTTTTGTACCAGCTTGGGATGTTGGGCGAAACTTCCCCTATCGAAAAATGATTTGGTTTTCAAAACCACCGCTGTAGACATTAGAATGTACATGTGAAACCTCCCCTCTAAGCCCATTTAAGAGTTGCTGTCTAGGGACGAATCCATAGAAACCAATCATTAAGTATTAAGTGTGATCAATTTTTTCTAAAGATTTTACTTATTTTATTATATTTTTTTTAGCTATTGTGTGATACTAATTGTCATTGCCGCAGTAAAATGGAAGAAAGTTTTGTTAAAACATAAGAAAGTCTTATGTACTAAGAGACAATGAAACGAGAAGGATTAATACCAAAAACGCGTGGGATGAATTGAGGAATTAATTCACACATAAACGACTTGAATTGTATTATCGAGCAGTTTGAAATGTTAAGAGGTGACCCAGACTTAGGAGGCAATGTAGATAGACACACAGCTGCAAATGTAAGCTGTAAAGCGAAAATTTCATTCTTCGTAAAGAAGTTGATTCCCCCGGTCGAAAGTTGAGTTGAAATACCAGAGGTGGGTGGGTAAGCCACCCACGCTCACTGTGGAGATTTAGTGAGAAGTAATAATATGAGAGAGTAGAAGAAGGGAATTCCCCCAGAATTATCGAATTCTTTTCCTTCGCCAGTTTGGGCGAATGTCAATAAATACGAATTCGCGAAGCGATATCGACAGACGAGTCGCAGAAGAGATAAGAAAGGCAGAAGGGACGATTTGCTGAAGAGTGACGGAGACAAGGAAGAGACACCAGAGAGTTCGTCCAAGCCATCGGTCGGGATACACCCCCACGTGGTTATCTTCAGACGAAAGCCTCTAATTTCAGCCTTGTGCTAAACTTTACCAAAGCAGCAAACTAAACTTTGTCAGGTCAACAATAATATCACTTCCGATTTAGACGCGGGTTGGGTTTGATAATTGTTCATACGAACTCTGATGTAAACCAATTATTGTAAGGAGGACTGATATAAAACAGTATTTACTTTTGTTCAACTTATTCGGGTGTTATTTTTATTCCTGTACGTCATCGCCTTGTTTGGACCACCCCAGCACGAAGATACCTGCGACGATTCGGTTTTGGCTGCCTTATGATCAAACTTAAATCACAACGTGCGATAAGGTTAGCTCTGGACTGAAGTGTCCACTCCAGCTACCAGCCGCGGTGTTGGAAGTCTTGAACGACCGGGGAGGGTGTTGTACGATTACATTATTTTTATTTCTTTTTTTTATAGGGAACTTCATATTTTAATTTTCAAAAAGAGAGCACTGGAAAACTTTCTGCGTGCACTTCATACTTTTTAAGTTTTATTTTTTAAACTAAATTTTATATGTTTACTACAAAATACGGGTACTCTGAAAAAAAACAAAAAAAAAACAACTCCAGTGCCATAATGTTGATCATCAGTGGAGATCCCGCACTTTTGGCTTTAAACCTACTGAATTAAACTTAGTGAATAACATTAAAGGCAACAGTACTTTATGATGTAATGAATATGCATACACCTGGGTTCCCCCTCACAGTAATATGATTGGCTGGTGTCAGCCATAAATACAGATTGATGTGGAGGTACAGGACGACGCATATTGACTACGTCTATGGCCTACGCCTATTGCCTACCACTACGACGAGGACCAGTTCATTACGGTTACCTACTAGTTTGTCCTACACAGTAGTCCAAAACCTCTTTGCTACTTCGAACAAATATATTCCTTTTCGGGACATATCACTTTATATGGTTTAACCATCCTCAACTTCTAAAAATATTTAACGTATGTGTGATATTATAGGTACAGAGGTACTGTAGCTGTAGTAGCGACGGAAATTGCATAGGATTTAAACGTAACGTGTGTGTTCGTTCTATATCTTCGAGGTGGCAAATCCTCTAGGTTGTTCCTGTGCAATAGAAGAAAGCGTATATCTGAAACTTGTGAATTCCCTGCATACAGCAACAACAGGTGAGAAATGCTGACATCTAATGACAATGCAAGTGTTGAATAGTTGAACCAACTAAAATGGCAGCCAAATTCAGCGCGGACGCTGTTTAAACTATCAGTTGACGTAAGTTCCAGTATACACAACATTCCATCGGGTTTCATCGTCGTTGACAGAAATGGTTACCATTATTGACACGATGGCGTTGATGCTAAATTAGATCGTGGAAGACCGGTGTTAAAACTCTAGAAGAAATGAGTCGCGTTTCTTGCTATTTGGAGCAGGCGCCCTATTTTGTGTGTAGGGTAGACCTCATGGTGCCATGGCTCCAACCTTGATATGTGGGACTTATATAGATCTGAGGGCATGTGAAAATATGATTATTTGCTGGTCTACGATTACAGAACGCTTAATAAATAATCCGACGTGTTTTGTCTTTTATCAGAGATTCTTTTCGCAATAATCGACAAAACTTATTCGGATTACCGTTTGAAAGGTTCTTCAGACCCGTATATTAAGTATAAGCAGAAGGCATGGCTTCTGGGTCTTAAAATAGTCTTTCTGATTTATATTGCCGATTCTCTGGCTGTATTTTTCCTCCATCCCTATTTTATAAAAGATCTTTTGGGACATATATGTTTTGCCCTCGATTGAGCTCTACAGAGTGAGGAGTGATTAAAAGTTAGATATATGTTGTTTCATTTTTGTTACATTTTTCGATTCACTACGGTCAGAGTTTTGTTATTCCTGATCTACGTCCCTCTTTGTATATATATATATATATATATATATATATATATATATATATATCTTGGTTACTTCTTAAATAGACTGATCCATCCCCAAAATAAGGACTTCTTAATGTTTTTTATTTATTATGATTCTTTAGACCGTTAAGCCGCGACACTTATCAAGATCGAAAAATATCGATTCATTATCGATTTAGAACGGGGATCCTCTTTATAATATCGATTCAGTGCCAAATCTATCCCTGAATTTTACAGTTATTGGCCTTCATCCAGTAACCAGTTATCCTCAAATGTAAAGTATGTAATTGTGCTGACATCATTGATATATACATGTATATATATATTTTTTAATCGTTTAACCTTTTTTAAAACTTTTCTTAAAACGTTTTGAAAAACAGAATTGATCTTTTCTTTTTTGCATGGGATTTTTTTAAGCATATGCACTAACAATAAAACATTCGATTGATACGGTATCAATATTATAAAAAGGGTCTCCTTTTAAATCAATATTTCTCCAATCTAACGATTCCAAGAAAGTTTTAAAGAATGATAATCTAGAAAATTTTCGAGGACTTGACACTGCTTTCATTTTTCAACCTTTTGACGCCAATCAATTGCTAATGATAAATTTGGATCGAATAAACACCCAGCCAAGAAAAGCAAATCAAAATGGGCAAAGTTGGTGGTAGGACTAACAACTAAATTGGAAAACATTTTGCTGGTATGATTAGCAATTCAAATGGGAGACAACTCGTTGGTATGACTAACAACACAATGGAGAAACAACTCGATGATATTGCTCAATGGTATGACTAACATTAGGGAACAGCTCGGTGGTATGTATAACAAATCAATGGGAGAAAAACTAGCTTTTACCATTCAATATCTCTAAAACCGAGCTAGTAACTCTTCATTATCACAAAACTGACCCTGAAATTTTTCCATTCATAATTTAAGGGATTTCTCAAGGCAAAAAAAACTGTTTATTGAAAATCTCAGATCAATATTCTACGTTAGTTAAAAAATGTAACATGAAATGAAAATAAAGAACCTAATATGAAATCGCATCCCTTACACATGAGAATCTGTTATGTTGTAACAATACCTTTACCTTTCAAAGCATTACTTAGTTCAGTTATGTGCCATGCGTGATACACGCTTAGGGGATCATGTATTATGACTGATAGTATGTTACCATTTCTTTCGGCGGTAGATCAGTTGCTATCCAATATACCAGTCTGATTCACATTCTGAACAGACTTCAACAGCTAGAACCCCTGAAAATTTTGAAAAGTTTTCACTGCAGTGAAAGGAAAGCGTCATTTGACTCTATGAGAATTAGAAGATCTGGAGATTGCACATCTACGTCTTTCAGCTTCCAGACTGTCCGAATTTGACTTTAACAAAAGCAAAAACTTTCTGTGCAAATTCTTGGATGAGATTAAGCTGAATGTAGACTATTTGGAAAAGTAGAAAGGATTCTGGGATATGTGTGTGTGGCCCTGAACATATCATACTTGTTAAATAGGTTATTCTTCTAACCTTTTTGACTTTAATATGGCCATTGAGTACCAAATTCTCCAAGTCGTTCCTCCTCATAATATGCCCCCAAATGTAAAACTGTTTTTACTGATTGTATGTATAAGTGTTTATTGCGTTCTTACTTTCTTTAAACCTTCCTCATTGCTCACATGCTCTGTCCTTGGTATTCTCAACCTCTTTCATGTAGATAACATATTTGTTACAAGTCTCATTTTCATCTCTGAGGTAATTGTTTCGCATTCCCTGTTATATAGGAGGAAAGATATTACTTAACAGCTCAACGTTTTTGGTTTGTTTCTAATGGGATTTCCCTATTTCGTAATAACTTAATTAATTTATGAAAGTGAACCAAC